TACCAGAGGAGCAGGAGGAGGGAGGAGCTGGGCACAACTGGACCATCTCGATCCAGCCCGTGGGGAATCCAGAGGGGGAAAGAAATACCTGAAATAATGAAGACAGGAACAAAACACCAAAACAAAAACAACAGGGGGAAGAAGGGAGGGGGGAAACAGAAGAAAAAGAGAAAAGCAGTAAATACAAAGAGAACCAAAGAAGAGAAAACATGCTGGAAGGAACCAAAAAAAAAAAAAAAAAAAAAAAAAAAGCTTGAAATTTTCAAACAAAAACCAAAAAAATGCCAAAACCAATAGAACATAATAGTACAAATCAAGACTCTCACTTAAATCAAGGTTGCTTAAGCAAGTATAAAAATTTGAAAAAACAAATCTGTTAAAATGCCAAAAAAAATTATCAGTACGTATGTTACAGAGACATTAATTTTATAAATTTAAAGCATTATCTAATTTCATTTGATTCTGTCATTTACAAATCTAATAGATTTTTCATTTTGAGCAATGCTGCATTGTTTAGTGCATACATGAAACTGAGATACACTCTCACATTGCAAAGCTGGCTACCGCAACATGCTTTTGAAAAATATAATCATTGGACAGTTTTGGTTTCCTGCAAAAAAAATAAACTGAGAATAGCTACAGAATTTAGGTGTGTAAAAAGGCTTAAGAATTACAGCCTGTTATTCTGGCATCCTATAACTTACCCGTTAATATGTATGCAATTTAGCAAATGAAAAGGTGTATAACTTTGTCAAAATCAAGAGTTTCAGAAGACAGGAATTAACTGAAACAACACATTAAAAATCCTGAGACATGGAATTTCAATTGCATGCACATTTTCAGCAAAATGTCAACTCTTCTTATGTTTCCAAGTGTCTTCAAGGAAACCAACTTGTACAGAATCAATCGATAAACATTCATGCACTTATTAGAAACAGTCATCTCTTTAATGAGTATGAGATGAAAACTTAAAAGTGCTTCCACTATTTTACTAACAAATAAAACTGTAGAAATGCTAACGTGATGTTTGGTTACAAACCATTTTATCTCAACTCTAGTGCTATGTTAATAATCTGCTCCTTTACTAGTACTTTTAATTATAAGAAAAACCAGTTATGTGGATAAAATCACCTATAAAGCAATCCTATAAAAGGTAAACAAATTAGCACTCAAAACAATCTTTATGAAAAATATTTATTTGATTTTCAAATTATAAAAACTCATCATTTTAGCTTGTTTTAGAAAATAAAAGACATATCCTTATATTCTCCAAATTAGAATAAAACTGTATTTTCCCTCCTCCCAACAGTTTATGAGGATAGTAGCAATCTCTTCAGTTTTTAAACCCAAGTTAGTCTCCAGAACATTTCAAAAAATTGTTTTGGTGATGATGTCTCAACAAAAAGCCTTTCCATTTATAGTGTCAATAAACTGACTAGTACAAAAAATTATATACACTGTAATTTTAAAGGCCTTTTGGACTGTGTTTAGTAGTGAGCAGGCTGCTGGTGCATCTTGGGAGAGATCAAACGGCGCTGGGGAAGGGGAAAAGGAGTTCGAGTTCCATTCCTGTGTGCATGCAACAAGCAGCAAAACAGCAAAGTTACTCCAGCTAGCTTGTACTCAGCTGTGCTTTCTGTTAAAGGACATAATACAAATGGAAAAGGGAAAATGCATCACAGATCCAATACAGATGGTTATTGGCACAATCAGAAAACAGATCAAACCATCAAGGCTATTTACAGAAAACATAACTGTACAAAAGCTGTAACCTACAACCAGATTTTAAAAATCAACTTTAGTATGCTTTCCTTCATAAAATAACCTGTTCTCATCTATGGTAACTGGAAACTGTTTCTACAATTCTACAAAATCAAATATGAAGATTTCTTTATAAAAAATATAATAGTATCAAACAATTCAGAAAATTTAAGTGTAATTTCTTTATTGTGTAGGGTGACAATAGGAACTACAGAGAAGTTTTAAGCTAGATTTTATAGTTTCCCAAACTCTATTCCAAATTATGCCAAAGGCATACTAAAATAATTTTATACTAAAAATTTACATATTTAAAATTTGAATATGAAAAGTCATTCTTTACGTCAAATTTTGTTTTAAATGTATGCAGAATAGCCTAAACATCAAAACCTCAGATTTTATCATTTCCACAATTATAAGCACAAAAGACAAATCATTTCTCACTGTTTTCACAAAGATGTAGTTGTGAACTTTATTTAAAATTTCAATGTGACCTTATGCAAAGCCCACACAACAAATATGAATGTTTATCTAAGAATCAGCACTTCAAAGCATTGGCTGCTCTCACAGAGGACCCAGGCTTGATTCCCAACACCCACATGGAGGCTCACATGCATCCTTAACTCCAGTACCAGGGCACCTGACTCTTCTGGCTTCCACAAACATTGCACACATTGTGGTACACAGATGTACAAGTAGGCAAAATAGCCATACACATAAAATGCAGTGTGCCCAGGGGTGGGGGCAGGTCCCTAGTTTTCCCAAATTAGAGCCTACCTGCCAGCAGAAGATCCATGTAATGAGTTTTGAAGATTTGGAGTATTTGAACTTAGTGAAGGATTTGAGTTTCCCAGCTGAGAAGTCCCATTTACTGGGCTCCCGTTACCTTTCAAAATTCCAGTACACTTCCAATTGTCCATGTAATTAGCTGAAAGAAAAAATTAGCCAAGTACATTAAAATGATTGATATCTATTCATAATATACATATTGCATTGTTGCAGGGTATTTGATCACACTGTGAACCCTAAGATTGCATTATTTACTGGAAAGATGTGTTTCTAGTTGTGGTGTGGCTCAGCCCTAGCACACATGGTTAATCCAAGAGCTTCCTGCTTGAATATTGTTAACAGGATTAAATAAAGTCAAGCATAGGCCAAGAAGCAGAGCAAGCAACCAGTTGACAGGAAAAGAACATAGGATTACTAAGAAAAAGACCATAGAGAGTAAGAGGGAGTCAGGAGGATGGATAGAGAGACACACAGGAAGTGTAAGAGAGGGACATTCAGTTGGAGTTTTTTGTTAGAGATGGTGGAATTTTTTCCAGGATGTTGTCTGAGGAGGAAGGTCAGCTTGATGCTCTCTCTGCCTCTCTGAGCTAGCAGGCTTTCACCCCAGCATCTGGCTCCCAAGTACCTATTGCTAAAATAGAACAATTAAGAGTTTGTTATTAAAAACAACACTGCAGTCTTCTCCTAAACCATAGAAATGAGACAAAGTATGGGCTACATTTTTTAATTGTCTATGTAATGTACGCATGGATTCTGTGCATATGCGTGTGTGCATGTGAAGCTAGATGGTAATTCCAGTGATCTCTTCTCCTTAGTTTTTGAGGTAAGGTCTCTCTCTGAACCGAGAGCCCATCAATTTAGCAACACCAGCTGTCAGGGAGCCCCAGGGACCTTACAGCTTCCGCCTCCCTATAGGAAGGATTACAGTTGCATACTAACAGGCCTGGGTTTTACATGGGTGCTAAAACCCATGTTTTTTTACAGCAGCACTTTACCAACTGGGCCATCTCCACGGTTTCAGTAAACTACATTTACTTCTACATAAGCATTAAGGACAATTTTTAGATGAAACACATAATCAAGTTTTTAAGGTTTCAAAAGAAACCAGTCATGGTAACTCATACCTATAAGCAGAGCTGCAGGAAGCTGAGGCGGAGGATTGCTCTGAGTTTGAGGCCAACCTGGACTACACAGTAAGTTTCAGACACAGTTGGCACAGTGTAAGATCCTGTCTCAAAAACAAAGAACTACTAGTTTAAAACACTAGAACTTTCCATCTAGTTCCTTTCCTTGCAAGAGAATCAACAGACACCATTCTCTAGTCACAAGATTAAGAGTTAATATCCAGGCTGGGGGAATAATTCACTGAATAAAGAAGCTTGTCTTATAGCCACGTGGACCTGAGGCTGATTAAAAGAATCCACCAGATGCAGCAGCATGCCCTTGTGATACCAGCAATCGGGTGTCAGGGATAGACATGACCCCTGGGACTCAACGGCTGGCCAACCTAGACTACTTGGCAAGTTCCCAGGCAAGAATGACCTTGTCTCAAAGCAAAAAGGTGGGTCATACCTGAAGAATGATATACAAAGTTGTCTCTAACCTGCACCCATGTGTGTGTGCACACACAAGTTAGTATCTAAATAAAATCTTTAAAAAAACAAATAAACCCAAATTCTTTCTCTTTTTACAATGAATATGTACACGGAATGGAACTGTCTCTTGGCTATGCAAATGCATATTACATGGTACCTGTGTAGATTATGATCAGAAAAATAGATTAATAAGAAAACCTCTGTGGCAGTTTAGTGGCTCATCCAACATGGTCTCATTCTTTGAATGCAAAACTGTTTTGTTTTGTTTTGGGGTTTTTTTTTGGTCACTGAAGTCAATTAACCCAGTGAATCAAGGTTAAGGACCAAATGGGATACAACAGGATTGACGTACTTAAGATTTAGAAGCAAAAAAAGGACAGAGAAGTCCTTAAAATCAAATTGAGGAAAGAAAAGTCTAGGCTGGTCCTATAGAATACATCCTAAGACTGAACTCAGGAAGCCATCAAGTTAGCCAAAATGCATTTTAGGAGCCAATAACCTCTCAGGGTAAATGATCAATTGCAGTTCTAAAGCGGATATTTACAATGTACTGTGCCCAGTGTGACACTACAGACACCAAAGTTAATGTCAACAAATTAGATCAAGTTCCCTCAGTGTGGCACTACAAGAAACTCAGAATCAGAAACCCAGTATTCGTGAATTTTGGAGTTGAAAGAGGAAACAGAAAAGACAGTGGATTTCAAGTTTCTGTGCACATGAGTGCCACAGCATCTTGAAGAGGTCAACTTCAGCTGTCAGCCCTCATCTTCTCACTTGTTTAAGATAGGGACACTACCGTTCTTCCACTGTACTGCATTTACCAGTGTAAGGGCCCCGAGCTGCTTTGGGTTCTGCTGCTTTGAGCACAGACGATCCGATCCGTAGTCCGTGAGGTTAAGATATCTTTATTCACATAAACAACGGCCAAGCATAAGCCAGTGCGTGCCCAGAGGCAGCAGGCTAGGGAAGCCAGAGAGAGTGACTCCCACGTGCAGGCTGGCCCCTCAAGAACTCCCATTGCATCATCCTGAACCTCTCCTGACCACGCCCTGATAGGCACACCTGTACCTAGCTCCTAGGAGGCGGGGCTACAGTGTCTCCCTACAAAACTCTACTCCTCACTCATTTGAGACCAACACTTTGACTACCTGAGGCCTCCCCTGGGCTCAGAAACCAGTCACACAAGCTTGCTTTTGCATATTAGAACTAGTTCTAAACAGGCTTTCCTCTACACAGAAATAAAACATTGCAATTGGCTGTTAACTTCTATGAACTAGGTAGTCTGTATTTCAAATAGTACAAATAAAACAATTCTTTTAAGCAATATTAAAGACAATTATGAAAAATATATTTTAGTAGTGAGTTCCAAGACAGCCAGGAATACACACAGAAACCCTATTTCTCATATATATGTGCGTGCGTGCGTGCGTGCGTGCGTGCGTGCGTGCGTGCGTGCGTGCGTGTGTGTGTAAAATATACATATATATATATATCAGAGTTTACACTTTTAAGTGAAAAGGAATAGAAGTAACAACTACCCCTCCACTAAAAACCTTACCTTTCCACAACCTCACGCAGCCGTCATCTCCTGAGGATGCTAGCACTGTTCCTGTTATGTTCCAACTCACCCTCCAGACCTGAGAGTTGTGATTATCAAACTGAGCCACGATATGGATTTCAAATTTTGTGGGACCACCAGAAGAAGTAAGTTCTTTCCTAAAAAAAAGATTAACAAAGTTTTCTAAAGAAGTGTCTTGTGTATAAGCACACACTCTCACACATGAACACACATTTTAAGTAAGAAATACAAATAAATATGCTTCACATATTTTTCCCCAACATGCACACCTATGTCCCCACCACTACCACCACTCAGCCCTTAGGCTACAGAGGTGTAACTTTCATTTGTTTCTCCAAAACCTGGACTTATTTCACCCACAGATAGTACTCAGTGTGACCTTGCTTTGGCAGAAACAAATGAGCACATTATTCCCCAAAAACAAGGTTCAGAATCCAATAGACATAACAATTTTAGAAGACAGAGAAAAAAGGAAGCATAGAAGAAAGAAAATGACCTGAAAAAATTCAAACTAAATCATCACTCCAAAAAGCCACATGAAATGTTCACTACAGGATGCAATCTTCAGTCTGTACTATCCTCTGCAGAGACAAGCGAAAGAACATGTACTTTCAAATTCCTGATTTTTCTTCAACTCACCTCACAGGTTTTAATGTGAAAATTCTTACATCTTTGGTGGCTATTGCCAGGATGTGGAAAGATCTCCCCAAATTTGGAGCAAAGGCAATATCATGAACAGGATCTGTGACTGTCATAAGAGTTTCTGCTTTTGCGTATTTCCTAATTCAAAGAAAAATTAATTAGAAATTTTGGAAAGACATAAAACTTGGGGCTGGAGAGATGGCTCCATGGTTAAGAGCACTTGCTGTTCTTCCAGGAAACACAACTGAATTTTCAACACCTACATGAGGTGGCTCACCACTGCCTTCGATGGAGGTACACACCATGTAATCCTGGTATTTGGGAGAGGCAGGAGAACAGGAGGAGAATTACAGCACATATAAGGCCTGCCTGGTATACATAGTGAGTCCTAGGCCAACCACGGACTCCATAGTGAGACTGTCAAAACAAAGGGGGACGGGGTGGCTAACAAAAACTGGTTTTTAGTCCTGACTCTTCATACTTGACCTTGGACGTGACCACAGGATGCTGCTTTGTTCGTTTGTAAAACAATGTTAATATCAAAGGTTTTTACCCTGCTTGTTATATTCAGACTTCTTAATCACCTACATAAATGCTTATGAAGGAACCGGCTTCCCTTTTGGCAGCCATAACAGCCGAACACGT